CGCCACGCAACCGCGCCGCGTCCATTATGCACCACCGTGTTTTTCGCCCTAATTCCGGCACTAGTCACATTTAAGGGCGAAAAATCCTTACTTGGTATCACACATCTCGGTTCCGGAGCATGACAGGGAGGTCGTGCGCATTGGCGCTGGACCATTTGGCACACCATTCCTGGAGCACAGAGCACATGCGAACAGTCAAGTGGCCTTGGTGGAGGTGGCGGCGGTAATGGTGGACCTGAAATTAGGGCATCTGCTCAGGTAAGGTTCTCAGGCGAGAGTTATCCCTCCTCCATCCCTTTTCTTTGTGGTAAAAACCCACTCATTGCGATACATGTCGGATGCAGGGCTGCACAAACTCGTCCGGGCCCGCATGGCTCCTGTACCATCCTGCATGCTGTTCCCATGGGGCACTGTATTTGTGAACATGACACTGGTGGCGGAGGTGGTCGTGGAGGACCTATGTGCGTTCGATGGTCAGACAACTTACTTCGAAGGTCGAGTGTCTACTACAGTTCTTACGTGAACGAACGAAGTACGCTGTTCTTTGAGTTAAAGAAAAAGCGCTACGGCAAAAACGACGATACAAACTTTTTGCTCTGTCTGGGTTCATTCAATCGCCTACGCACAGGGTCATCTAGAGGATTTCGACAAGGGTGTTCAATTATAGGAAAGAAGAGTTTAGCCAGAGTATAAATAGGATAGCCTTGGCTGAAGGTTAAACAAACATGCCCTCCTTACAGCTCTGGTTGGTACTCTTGATGATCATCGCATCGTAAGTTAAAATACAAATGTTTGAATAAGGCAATAACAATTGTTTTAGATCCCATGCGCAATTGGCTGCCCTCCATGGTCAGTTCTTTTGAGTATTTGAAAAAAATACTTCACAAGTAAATTTTGGAAAAAATAGCGAAACATGGCGCATTAATCCCACTGCCTACGAAAATACCCTATTAGTCCACTAAGTGTATAGTACTCAGAAAATAAGTCGGTTATGATGTTTGAGAACTTCCCAGATTTTTATGTCTCGAAATTAATTCCCGCTGATCTCCATTTCGCTTTAATCGGATAATAGAAAAGAAACAAAATTTAGCTTTTTCATTCTTTTCGAACCCCATTTCTCTTCCACAACAAGAAAAAGTTGTGTAACTGAGCGATCCATAAACTTTTAGTGCCACCCCTTCGGACTAGCGGTCCTTTCGCACATGCTTGCGCATACCGTGTGAGGAACAGTAGTCCGTGGAGGTGGCGCCTAACAGCGACATTCGTTTTTTATCCTATTCTGTAATTTTTAGGAATAGCCGCACCAGCAGTTCATTCAGCACCACTGCTCTCAGTTCCTGTTGGAGCTCCCTACCCAGCGGTAAGCGCTCATGAGAACCAGAATTGTTCTACAGTATGTTGCTACAAGACTCCAATCGTTCGTTACAGTACCCCAGCTACTACCACTATGACGGACTTCATCATTTTGCCACTTCGGATGTGCTCGATATGAGTTTTCCGTTTAAGAATCGACGTCTAGCAGCAGCAAAGAGAACTCGAGCGCGTACTTTGAAGAGAAACAGAAACTGAAAAAGTGGAACGCAAAAAAGTTGATTTTTGTCCATGTAATTCTTAGATGTAATAAAAATATTGTGAATTCGTAGGTATGTTTAACCCCTCAACTTGAAAATTTCGATGAAATATTTTCACATTTGCAGATCGCATAGCAGTTGAAGTAGATATATGACAGAACCAAAAGGGACGCAGGGCGATCTTATGTACAAATTGCAGCAACGTGAAGTTCCGCCCATTTTTACGGCTATATCGCGCCAAGACCAGCCTAGGCAAGCCCAGCAACTCCCTGCACTTTCGTCCAAAAGGCTGTGGGCGGGGCTTCCGTTGGATGCAAATTTATTGACTGTAGCCTTTCGCGTCACACCTAAATGCACATGTCCCAAACTACTTTATAATTAAAAATCGTTATATTGATTATTAAACAGCAAATCTACCTAGCGTGAAACCCTATCTTGAAACTCCGCCCACTCCTACCGTACTCTCGATATATCCCGCCAAGATTTGTCTTGCAACTCCAGTCTGTGGGAGGAGCTTCTGTTTTGGGATCAAATTCAAAATCAAAGCGTACATGTACTACTTTACCTACATCT